GCTAAATCTTAGAAACACGATCTTTGTGACATTTTAAATTTAAATTAAAATTGCTCTATTCCCATCCTCTCTTTCCAGCTCAAGGTAGCCTTGAAAAAACCAATAGCCTCACAACCATGGTAGCTGTGAAAACTAGCAGCTGACCAGTCACTGAAGGGGAAACACGAGTTTGAAGCACCTTGAAAAGCTTCCTACTCAGAGAAATGTTATATTTGATCTTGTGTCTGTGTGTGTGTAACTGGTTGGGTTCAAATCCCAACTCCAGCTCTTTATTTTTTTAACTTTAACTTTTAAATTTTTTATACAATTTAAAAAGTTAATTTCCATTTACAGTTATTACAAAATATTGGCCATATTCTCCGTGTTGAACGTACACCCTTGAGCCCACCTTACACCTAATAGTTTGTACCTCCCACTCCCCCCCGACCTCTGTATTGCCTCTTCCCTTTCTCCCCACTGGTAACCACTGGTTTGTTCTCTATATCTGTGAATCTCCTTCTTTTTTGTTATTTTCACTAATTTCTTGTATTTTTTTAGATTCCACATATAAGTGATATCAGATAGTATTTGTCTTTGTCTGACTTATTTCACTGAGCATGATGCCCTCCAAGTCCATCCATGTTGTCACAAATGGCAAAATTTCGTTCTTTTTTATGGCTGAGTAATATTCCATTGTATATATACACCACATGTTAATCCATTCATCTATCAATGGACACTTAGGTTGCTTCCATACCTTGACTATTGTGAACAATGCTGCTGTGAACATTGGGGTGCATGTATCTTTTTGAATCATAGTTTTCTCCAGATATATGCCCAGGAGTGGAATTGCTGAGTCCTATGGTAGCTCTATTTTTCGTTTTTTGAGGAACCTCCATACTGTTTTGCATAGTGGCTGCATCAATTTACATTCCCACCAACAGTGTACCAGTGTTCCCTTTGCTCCACATCCTTGCCAACATTTGTTATTTGTGTTCTTTTTTTAACATCTTTATTAGCGTGTTCTTTTTAATCATGGCCATTCTGACAGGTGTGAGGTGATATTTCATTGTAGTTTTGATTTGCATTTCCCTGATGATTAGAGATGTTGACCATATTTTCATATATCTTTTGACCATCTGCATTTCTTCTTTAGAAAAATGTCTATTCAGGTCTTCTGCCCATTTTTTAATCAGGTTGTTTGTTTTTTGATGTTGAGTTGTATGAGCTGTTTATATATGATGGATATTAATCCCTTATTGGTCATATCATGTGCAGATATTTTCTCCCATTCAGTAGATTATCTTTTTGTTTTGTTTCATTATTCGATCTGTCTTGAAAATCCCTGGAAAATCTCCATTCTCAGGGCTTGTCATTATTTGACCTGACTCTGTATGAACATCTCTATCTCACAAGCACCCGTCAAAAATAACGATCATTTAATATCACAGTCACCTGGGGGGAGGAGGGCAATACTAGTTGGGGCAAACAAGCAGCTGACCAAAAATCTTTAAGGAAAAAACTGGGAAATGACATGTCTCTAGAGGATTTCAAAAAGCTCTAACATATGCCTAGAAATCTAGAAGGCTGTGCACACATGCAGTGCTGTGCACATGCCCAGGCAAGGCCCCAGAAGGTCCTAATCTCTGACCTTTGGCTAACCTTGAAGCTCCATGAAAGCAGGAAACGAAGGCTAAGGCAGAGTTGTAAACTGTCTGCTGGGGCATTGAAGGTATGCCTAGACACAAACAAAGACCAGAAAACACATGGATTTGAGGCATTTAAGGAGATTTCTGTCCAATCATTAGCTGACCACTAAGCTAACCAAGCAGAAAATTCAGGGGGCACACATGACGGACTTTAAACCATTAGTCCAGGAAAGTAAACAACAGCAACATCACCACCACCACCGAAAACAAACAAACAAACAAAAAGCAACAAAAACAACAAAGAGAAAAAAACAAAACAAAACAAGCAGGAACAACAAGCCCTGGGGAGAGGGAGAAAATCTCATTTCCAGAGTTGGCACAGTATATTATTTCAAATGTCAATTTATCAACAGAAAAATTATGAGGAACAGGAACAGGGAAGTGTAGCTGATACACAGGGAAAGAAAGCGATCAACAGAAACTGTCTCGAAGGAAGCACGGATATATTTAGCTGACAGAGGCTTTAAGTCAGCTATTTCAAATAGGCTCAAATACTAAGGGAGACTGCTTCCACAGGTGGCTAGACTGTGCCAGAGGATAGAAGAGAATAGAATAGAACATGAGTGTGGCCAGAGCTAACAGGCAGGTGCGTGCCAGCCAGGGAAGAGGCCAGTGCATGACTCAAGGTCACTGAGAGCAGACAACAGGCGTGCAGGCTCAAATGGTACATTGTGTACCTACCTCAAGAGGAGAGAGTACACAGGATCCACCTCCTTGCAGCGTGGCAGACCCCCATGGCTCGTGGGTCCACCTGGCAGCTGCAGTGGGCAGCGTGGCTGCATTCGCCTCACTTTGTGCCGTGGTAGAAGGACCCCAACTCTTACCCCTTAGAGTCTGAAATACACAAAGTTGGGGGTGTACCTGTGGGCCATTTACGCATGCATAGCTAAGCGGTTCTGAGAAAGTTTACACGTGCTCCAGATAAAGGGAACAGGTACGTACTGACTGCGCTCTGAGCTCTTTTCATGCAGTGCGACTTGTGAGCTTGTCAGCATGTCCTGTACTGAGCACAGAGAGCTTCTTGGGAACAGAAGGGAAGGCATGGACTGAACTTGGACCCTCCCCTCACAGAAACCATGTCTAAAATGTTAAAGGAAAGTATGAGAACAAGGTCTTGACAAACAGAATATCAATAAAGAGATAGAAATCATACATATAAAAAAATAGAAATTCTGGAGTTGAAAAGTACAATAACTGAAATGAAAAACTCACAATGGGAGCTTAATAGCAGGTTTGAGCTATCAGAAAAGAATCAGTGTACTTAAGTATAGATCAACTGAGATTATACATTCTGAGAAATGGAAAGAAAAAAGAATTTTTAAAAAATGCACAAGGAACAGAGCTCTGAGACTGTGTACCAACATAGCATAATGGGAATCCTAGAAGGAAAAGAGGAAGAGAGGAAGGAGCAGAAGGGATATTTGAAATAATGGCCAGAAGCATCCCAAATTTGATGAAAAACAGTAACTGACACATTCAAGAAGCTCAACAAACTCCAAGTAAGATAAACTCAGAGACCCACACTTAGATACATCATAGTCAGACTGTCAAATGGCAAAGACAGAGAGAATCTTGAAAGTAGCAGAAGAAAAATGAGTCATCGTATACAAGGGATCTTCAAGATGAACAGCTAAATTCTCAGCAGAAATAATGAAAGCCAGAAAGCAGTGGAATGATACATTCAATGTGCTGAAAGAAAAACAAGTTAGCCAAAAAGTTCTATACCCAGCAAAACTATCCTTCCAAACTGCAGGAGAAATTGAGACAGTACAGATAAAAACTGAGAGACTTTTGTCCCTAGCAGACCTACCCTACACTAAATGCTAAAGGGAGCCCTTCAGGTTGAAACAAAAGGACAACGAACAGTAACTCAAATGCACAAACTAATTAACAAGCCAGTGGTGAAGGTAACTGCATAGGTAAATGTAAAAGTCAGCATTAATGGGGCTTCCCTGGTGGCGCAGTGGTTGAGAGTCCGCCTGCCGATGCAGGGGACACGGGTTCGTGCCCCGGTCCGGGAGGATCCCACATGCCGCGGAGCGGCTGGGCCCGTGAGCCATGGCCGCTGAGCCTGCGCGTCCGGAGCCTGTGCTCCGCAACGGGAGAGGCCACAGCAGTGAGAGGCCCACGTACCGCAAAAAAAACCCAAAAAAATAGTCAGCATTAATGTATTTTGGTTTTTAACTCTTTTTTTCCTATATGATTTAAAAGACAACTGCATAAAATTATGCAGCAAAAGATATGAATAGACAGCTTTCCAAAAAAGATGCACAAGTGGTCAATAAACCCATGAAAAGATGTTTAACATAATTAGTTATGAGAGAAATGCAAATGAAAACCACATGAGATACTACTTCACACTTGGATGGTAAAATAAAAAAGGCAATAACAAGCGTTGATGAGGATGTGTAGAAATTAGAACCCTCCTACGTCGCTGGTGTTAGTGTAAAATGGTGAAGCTGTTATGGAAAACAGTTTAGTGGTTTCTCAAAAAGCTAAGCATAGAATTACCACACAACCCCACAATTCTAGTCCTAGGTAGAAAAAAAGGTGGAACCAACCCAAACATCCATCCACTGGTGAATAGATAAACAAGATGGAATATTACTTGGCCATAAAACAGAATGAAGGTCTGCTTCTTACGTGAAGGTAAGAAGGTAAGAAGCCCCACGAGCTCTCTTGGGTGACAACAGCCTTCCAAAAGACATGGCAATCCTTATCCTATGATCCTTCTTGTCCTTTCCCCCAGACCTGGCCCTTTACGATGGGGAAGCAGTCCTCAGATAATATTCTAATTAAGGGGAGTTGGAACGGAGACCGTGATTTCACTGGGGAAAGAGAGTGAAGCCTGGATCTTTCCTCCCTCCCACGCACTGTCCAAAGTCAGATTCTGTCATCGCCAAGCTGGCTTTTCCCTGAATCCCCCGAAGTCTCAAACCCGACAGGCGTGTCCTGCAGGAGAACTCAAGGCCTCGGGCTGCCCCCAAATTCCCAGCATCTTGCCTACTCGGCTCTAAAGGATGCCAGGAGCAGTCGTGGTACCAGGGTGATGTCATCAACAAGCTTCCTGGAAAGTGTCCACCTGTGCAGGTAGTTCCCTGCATCTCCAGCAGCTAGGGAAGTGGAGGGGCAGAGTTCAGAAGCTTCTCAGGACACTGGCTGAGGGCTCAGGGCCTTAGCTTTCCCAAGCTCCATGGCTAGAAATCATCACAATCACAACAGATGCAGACGAATCTCAACTATCTGAAAACTGGTGGCCTTATTTCTAACAATTTTCCAATTTGAGAACCAACCGATTTGTTCCTATTTCAGGCAACCGACTCCTTCTGTTATGGACGCAGAAGGGAGCTTCAGTCGTGGTTTCATTGCCTGGCATATGGGTGATTATGAGGACACCAACCAAAGGAACTCCAAACGGGCCGTCCTCCTCCGGCAGAGCCAGGTAGCATTGCCAAGAGTTTCCAGACCACCTAAGCTGTCAAAGCTACCAAAAGAGCAGGAGGTACGATCATTTGCTTTTCGGAATCGTAGAAAAAGTCAAGCTGTCTTAACGTGTGCATTAGAGAACGCCATTTAATAGCAATACTATGAATAATCAGTTTTATAGCTCCTTTCAACCTATCAGAACGTTTTGTAATTCATATTGGATTTCCACAGTGATGTCCGTATAGTGACTGGGTGGGTATTATTCCCATTTTATAGCTACAGAAAACAGGAGGTGAGGGGCTCAGTCCTTAGAACTGCTTATTTACCACATGGTTTAACCTGGAGAGCACAGCCATCTGCTCAGTTTCCAAAACCTGAGAAAACTCAGTCCGTGAGATGGAGGTAACTCTATAACGCTTCTTAAAACCCCACAGACTGGGCTTCCCTGGTGGCGCAGTGGTTAAGAATCTGCCCACCAATGCAGGGGACACGGGTTGGAGCCCTGGTCCGGGAAGATCCCACATGCCACGAAGCAACTAAGCCCGTGTGCCACAACTGCTGAGCCTGTGCTCTAGAGTCCACGAACCACAACTACTGAGCCCGCAAGCCACAACTACTGAGGCCGCGGGTCACAACTACTGACCCCACGTGCCACAACTACTGAGGCCCACGCACCTAGAGCCCCTGCTCTGCAACGAGAAGCCACCGCAGTGAGAAGCCCACACACCACAACAAAGAGCAGCCCCCGCTCGCTGCAACTAGAGAGCCCGCGCGCAGCAATGAAGACCCAACACAGCCACAAATATAAATAAATAAGTAAATAAATGTATTAAAAAAAAAAACACCCCACAGACTGCCTAGCAGAGTAAGAATATACCAGTTCAAATTCAAGGTTTTTTTCCCCATTACTATCTATGGAATCTTGAACAAGTTGCATATTTCCCGATGTGGGTTTTTTCATTAGTAAAATGGGGATGTTAGTATCTGTCCTGAATATTTTGTAGAGTTATCATGAGACTCAAGTAAAGAGTGTGTAAGCATGTATTCAAATGAACAACTATTTCCTGAGGTCCTTCTGCATAATACCACAGCGAATCCACTCTGTAGTCATCCAGCGTTTCAATATTGAGTGTGACAACAAGCTTCCAGGATAGAAAAGGGAATACACTCAGAGACTCCTGTTCCCTACATGGAGAGAGGCTTCTTGCTCCGCTGGAGAATCTTGCCACTGCCCTAGAATATTGCTTACCCTCTGTCGCCAGAGATCTGTTCATCAGGAGATGTCTGACAGTTAACTGTATATCCATCTGAAACACTCTGCGAGGAGCCGTGGACGTCCTCCGTGGTAGGTCCTGCCCCAGGGATGCTCTGTATCGAAGAAGGTAGCGTTCAGCTGCTGACATTCCTATGTGGTCTGAATTTTGAGCTGGGTCCCCGTGAGATTTATTGCGTGTGTGTGAAGGAGTCTTGGGTTAGTTATTTTCCACCTGAACTAATTTTGTGTAGGATTAGAGAGATCATGGATTAAACCGTCCCAAATTCCTCCTACTATCTATCATTCACTAAATCCAATTGAGATGTCTTTGTGCATTAAAAAAAATCTGTTAAAAGGCTGATTTTGAAATGATTTCAAATTTACAGGAGCACAAGAACAGTACTAAGTGAACTGATAGACTCCTCACTCAGAATCATCAGTTGTTCATTTTATCCTAATGTGTTCTTTCTACACACACACACACACATGCGCGTGTGCATGCGCGCGCGCACACACACACAGACACACACTGGTTTTTACTGAACCATTAGAAGGTAAGTTGCAGACGTGGTTTTGCTTTACCCCTAAATATTCATGGTGCATTGCCTAAGAACAAGGACGTTCTCGCACCTAACCATGGTACAATGATAAGATCCAGGAAATTTAGCACTGATACAATATTACCTTATCTATAGTTTATAAGCAAATTTTATTAATTGACCCAACGATGTCCTTTGTCATTTTCCCTGATCCAGGATCCTATCCAGGACCAGGTATTACGTTTAGTCCTCAAACCTCACTAGTCTCCTTCAATTAGGAACAGCTCCTCAGTCCTGGTCTTTCATGACACTGACATTCTTGAACAATTCAGACCAGTTCTGTAGAATACCTCTTAATTCAGGCTTACCTGCTATTTCCTCGGGTGATGTGTTTTGGGCAGGAATCCCAAGGTGAGTGATGCCGTGTCATCCTCAGGGTATCCCATCAAAGAGGCACTTGACGTGAGTTTAACTCATCATTGGTGGGGGTAACTGATCACTTGGTTACACCTCTTCCCTTTCAGAGATAAACAAAATACTGTATCATTCAAAATAAACTTTTTTATCAGCTTAGGCTTTCTTTTCTTTCTTTTTTTTTTTTAAACGCACGGCAGCCTCGCGCGAGCACGTACCGGGCGGTGAGGGAGTGCGAGGGCGGGGCGCGCGACCGAAGCCTAGCAACCCCCTGCCACGCGAGTGCCGCAGCAGCCAGTCCCGCTGCCCGCTCCCCGCGACGCCCGCGTCTGCCTGCGTCGGCCGCCCCGCAGCGCGCCGCACCCGTGCACCGGCTTTCTAATTCCAGAGATACCTTAGAAACTTGTTCCCCAAGTCCATCCTTTGGATCATCCCACAGGGTTCTCGTGGCTGACACTTCACTAAGTACTCAAGCCCTCCCCCCTACTTTACAGAAATTCTCTTCGGGGAAGATAACTCGGAGCAAATGATAAATTCAAGCTTCCAGCATGAGCGTCACACCGGCCACCTATGCGTGGCTGTTACTGTACTCACCTGAGATGCAGCCCAAATGCCGTCCTCATGCTGCGAGAATCAGAACCATGCACTGGAAGCAGCCTTGGAAAAACAAAACTTTGCCAATGGTATTGGGGGGGTTGGGGAAAATTTTAAACACATAAACCAACCCACAATATCGCAATGCTTTCTCATCAACATAGATAGTTGAAAATGGGGATATTTTATATTCACGTTGTTGAGTATGGATTTATTCTTATAAACCTAAGTTTAGAGATTAATTTCTAAAAGTTTCTAAAACTTTCTAGAAGTGCAATTTATGGTATTTAACAGTATGTATAATTCTTGTATACATTACCCAAAATGCTCTTAGAAATGTTTTTGGAAATCAGTTGGGCAAATTTCTAAACTGTTTTTCTACATTTCCCCAAATTTCTTCCTTTAAGTCACAAAATGTCTCTGAAGTTCTATCTTCTATTACATTTGTTTTCCCTTCTTTTGGTTGACCTTTTTTCTCCACATAAATAATAGCTACTTAAGTGTTGTGAAATTTATGTGTATGTGAGACAGTTTCAACATCGTGATCCATTTCTATTTCATTTCTTTGCTTGCAGATATCTTCATTGCCCCCCTTGCTTCCAAAACATGGACATAATCTCAGTAATTGATATGTTCTTTCCCTCACCCACTCACTCACACTGGGTGTGGGAGTAGTGATTCTCAAGGTTTTAGTGTGCATATGTGTCATCTGGGGATCGTATTAAGGTGAGATCCTGGTTCAGTCGGTCTGGGACAGGGTTTGAGATTCTGCACATCCGTCAAGCTCCCGGGTGAGGCAGCTCTGGTCGATCCAGGGATGCCGAGTAGCAAGGCGCTGGCGGATTTGCCCCGAGCTGCATTTTGAGCCAGAACAGGGGGGGCCTTGATGGAGCAAAAGGGAGTGGGAAACCAGGACGAAGGACTGACAGGGCGCAGGCAGTGATCAGCTCGCGCCTTTAGGTAACCAGCAGCCTGCAGAGGTGGGCGTCCGGTGCTGAGGCCAGAGGAGGGGGCTCAGGTGCCGAGGAGCTTGGATTTTCCTGGGCCAACTTTTAAACAAAAGTGACAGGATTAAACTTTCATTTTGGGAAGGTTGGTTAGACATCAGCCTGGAGGAAGATTGGTGAGAAGTGTTGCTACAAAAGGGAGGTGAGTTTGGAGGGCATTTTGGTAACTCGGGTGAGAATGAGGAAGGACTGAAAGAAGGAAAGAGCAAGGAGAGCAGGTGATGCACTCGGCACCCAAAGAGTGCAAGTTCAGCAGCTCTGGGTCCCGACTGGATGTGGGGAAAGACCTCAGTAACCATGGGAGGAGCCAGGGGAGGCTGACAGACATGACCTTGTGAGGTGAGGGGTGGAGGCAGGGGCCTAGGAGGAAGGTCGGTAGACTGAGTGCTTGAAGGTGAGAGAAAGGGATGATGACTGCTGGCCTGAGGTCCCCAAGAACACAGAGGGCAAGGCACAGCAGTGGGGATTAATCTCCTCTCTCCCACCACGAATGAGCTGGTACCTCCTCCTCTGTTGTCTCAGAGGTTGTCCTAATTTAGGCTCTTCCTGTTCTCCAGCACCCCCTTTGCATCCCATGTTCAGAGACTATGTGACTTAACTAAGCAGAAACTATGAAGTCTGTACTCTCTCTATGTTAAAGATCTTTGCTTCAAAGTCAACCTCCAATAACCTGGTGTGACAATATTCTGACTCCCAACTGCTTTGTCGGGTCCTCATGGATGTCACTGGACCGATATCTTAAGTACCTATGTTAGTCAGGGTTCTCCAGGGAAACAGAACCGACAGAATGGATGGATGGATGGAAAGACAGACAGATAGATAGTTGAATGGATAAAGGGACAAATGGATGGGTAAAGGGACAGATGGATGGATGGATGGATGGATGGATAGATGAAATGGATAAAGGGACAAATGGATGGGTGGGTGGGTGGATGGGTGGGTGGACTGATGTAAAGATAGACATGAATGAATGAAGGGACAAATGCATGGATGGATGGGTGGTGGCTGGATGGACAGATGCATAGCGACAGACAGATGGATAGCTTTCTCTTCAGGAATTGGCTCACATGATTGTGGAGGCTGGCAGACCCCAAATCTGCACATAGGCCAGCAGGCTGGAGACCCAGGCAAGAGTGCGAAGGCCGTGGGGAGGCCGAATCCCCTCTTCTTCAGGGGATCTCAGTCTGTTTTCTTTGAAGTCCTTCAACTGACCGGGGAGACGCCCCACCGTACGGAGGGTAACCTGCTTTACTCAAAGCCGACTCCTCTGTGTTGCTGTCCTCTAAAAAGCCTTCACGGCAACACCACACGGGCGTTAGACCAGGTATCTGGGTACCGTGGCCTAACCAAGGTGACACATGAGATTAGCTGTCATGACACCCACCTCATCCACGTGTGAGGATCAAATGAGGTGACATACATCAGGCATCCGACAGAACCAAGGAGCAATGTGGTGTGTATGTGTGTGTCAGGGCTTTCTCAAAGGCGTGGTTTTAAAGGGAACGTGAAAAACACTTGAAATTTACCTTTAATCCAAAAAGGATTTAGCAATACCTAATATTACTCCTTCCTGTACTCTGCAAACAACAGGATTCGGTATGGGCTTATGTAGCTACAAAAGTTACACCTCAGCGTATGTTTCCTGAGGCCGTATGTATCGGTGCTACATTTCATAGCACATATTTTCTAATGCCCTTTATTTTCCTAAAATAAAATTC